TGCTCGTTGAAAAAGATATGTACCAAAGATTAGTGGGCGTGACTTATATATTTGTCGCATACCAGGCCGTATATTGCCTATGCAAGTGAGTTTAATTAGCCAATTTATGCATAGCCCAAAGGAGACCCATTTACAAGCCGCCTACGTAATTTTACAGTACCTTAAAGGAACTCCAGGAAGAGGGATTCTATTCAAAAGGAATGGTAATGTAAAGCTTGAAGCCTATACCGATGCCGATTATGCAGGGTCAATTGTGGATAGGAGGTCAACTACAGGATATTGCACCTTTCTTGGAGGAAATCTTGTGACTTGGAGAAGCAAAAAGCAGGGTGTAGTGGCTCTGGTCCAATGGCTGAGCGCAATTCCGAGTCATGGCACAAGGTATATGTGAGTTACTATGGCTTAAAATCATCTTAGAAGACTTGAGGATAAAGTGGGAAGAACCTATGAAGCTCTATTGTGATAATAAGTCAAGAATCAAGTATAGCCCACAACCCAAGTGCAAGCATGATAGAACAAAGCATATTGAAGTAGACAGACACTTCATCAAAGAAAAGCTTGATAGTGGCTTGATATGCACTCCATATGTGTCCTCTCAAGACCAAATTGCGGATATTCTTACCAAGGGACTCAGGTCGCCATAATTTTGAGAAGATTGTATCCAAGCCGGGAATGGAAAACATCTATTCACCAGGCTTAAGGGGGAGTGTGGGAAATCAAATAGTATTTTAGGAAAGAATAAATCAGGAAATTTGTATATTTCCTTGTAATCTGTACAGATTTGAATAATTAGGAACGATCCCATAAATCAAGGGATCCTAGCATAAAATAGAGTTATTATATTTCCTAAAATAGCTTAGGTCTCCTGTATATATCTTATATCATCTCTTTGTATTGAAAAAATAAAAATCATATTTCAGTTAATCTATTTTTCAAGAATATTCACTACTACAAATAAGGCTTTCCACGTCGGTTTTGGAAGGCATTCAACGACGGTTCCAAAGCCGACGTTGTATCGAGCGACGTTGAAAGTCGGGATTTTCAACGTCGGTTCTATTTAACCGACGTGGAAAGTCTAATTTTAACTTTCAACGTGGATTAAATAGAACCGACGTTGAAAGTCATTTTGTAGTAGCGATTAATGAAGAAGAGAAAAATTAATTTAGAATGTCAAACTAATATACTTGTTATATATCAATAAAATAACTTTTATTTCATTTCATTCGTATGTATAAATATCCATGCATAGGCAGATAGAGAGGCTTAATGTCGGAAGACATTAAGCCATCACATATATGTTGTTTCTATAATTTTTATTTTATTTTTTCTTGGATAATGTAAAAAATGATTGAAAATGGTGTTCTGAGTAAGAAACACAAAATAAAAACATACATTACGATTCCTTGTAATTTTCATACTGGGCCTATATTTTTTTTTCTTGGACAGATGTGCTTGAGATGACCGCATAAAAACATTTTTATTGAATCGGTATGTAAATTGTTGAAAATATGGATTTAAAGATTAAAGGCTAATTTGAGGTTTAATTAGGGTTAATTGAATTTAATAAAATAATATTTTTATAATAAATACATAATAAATTTATTATTATTAATATTTTTTATAAAAATAAAAATAATAAATATTATTATTATATTATAATGAAAATTATAAATATAAAATATACGAGAGAGAAGATAAAATGAATAATTATTAAAATAAAATAAAATAAAATTATAATAAAATTATAACTTAAAGTAAAAAAATACATATATATTATTCTTTATAAAAAAATTATACTAAAGTTGGATTATTTAAAAATAATGGACAGATTTATACTCAATTCGGCTCATGTGTTTTTCAAAATATGTTATTTTCATGCAGACCCTAATAAGAGATGAATCCAATAGAACGCCATTCCAGCTAGAATGAAAACATTTCATTATGTCCCAGCAGAAAAAGAACGTTCAGAAAGGATTTCAATGTCAATTTCAGTGGGTCCCATAGACAGATTATTATAATATATTTTTAAAACATAATATATTAAAATATAAGTGATTTGAAAGTTGGGAATATAAATTTTATTTTTTAATAAATTTATTAATCTATTTTATTTAATATCTTTATATCTTAATATTTTTTAGAAAATGTATTATTTTTTCACTTTATAATAAATGTTAAAAATATAAGGATATGATGACTAAAGATTTTAATGATATTTCAAGAACAAATGACTTTAAGATCAGAAGACTTATATTTATTTGAAATTACTTGTAGTAACTCTATTTTGTCATCTTGAATCTGTAAAAATAGAATTCATGATAGTCAACACTTAGTCTGTCCATAAAAAGCTTCATTTTTATTAGGACACACTGGAATAATCGATTATTGCTGAGGATAATCGATTATCCTATTTAAATTTCAAGTTTTCTAAAAGTGACTCTGGAATAATCAATTATTACTGATGATAATCGATTATCTTTGGCTGATAAGGGTCCAAATTCAAAATTGGTTATGTGATAATCGATTATCACTTATGATAATCGATTATCCTGGACAAAACTGGTTTTCCTATATCTCGCTCTGTGATAACCGATTATTACTGATGATAATCAATTATCTGTGTCAGTTATGAATTTAAATTTTGAATTTCTGACCTAATTTTCAAAAATCCTTAAAGTTGAAAACCCTAAAACTTTATTTAAAGGACTCTCATGTTCTCTGCAAATGGAAAAACCTTTTTCATACTCAGAAAGTTAAAAGTTGTGATTGTTGGGAGAACTTTGAGTAGGGAAGAAAACGGGACTTTGAAAACCAAGTGTGGGCTAGAAGTGATAAGAATCATTTAGTGGGATTCTTAGTGGATTAAGTGTTGTGTCATCTCTAGGAAAACTGTCTTCATCTTTTGTGACTTCAAAGGAGGTGTTCATCTCTTGTGTGACTCAAAAGAGATGTTTTCTAATCTTTTGCTATTTGTAGTCTGTTTATTTGAGAACCATTATTTAGTGATTGAGTTAATCCTCTTTTAGAGTGATTAACAATTGGACGTAGGGTCTTTTGATCCAAACCATTATAAATACTTGTGTAATATTCTTCTCTTATCTCTTTATTTTTCAAGTACTCTATTATATTATCTTTTAGTCAGTAAAATCTTGCGAAAAGTTTTTAAAAGAGAAATTTTTCAAAAAAAATTAATTCACCCCTTTTGATTTTTGTATTAAGGCAAACATTCTCACTGCGCTTATTCCAACAATAAATATAAAAAAAATTAGTAAAATATAATTAATATAATATTAAATTTTACAAATATTATATATTTATAAATAATTTTTTACACATTCATGTATTTTCAAACAATGAAATAATTGTTTATTTATATAAATAAGAAAAATTAGATTAAATATACTTTTATATTTTTAATTTTAAATATGTGAATGATGAAATTAAAAATTATTATTAAATATTAAGGTTCAATATGAAATTAATTACAATTATATGTTTTGTTAATTGAAATATTTTATTAAATTTTATAACTGATAAAAAATTTAAAAAATAAAGTAAATACATCTAGGAATATTTCAGTATACTTCATTCTATGTTCTATGTGGTATGATTTTGCTCCATCCACTTTCCATCTTTTAAATAATAACTCTGAAAAGTAAGAAGGATAATTCTCTAACAAGTGTTTTAAAACACCTTTAAAACTAAAAAAAAAAATTTCTAAGATATCAAATAAATTTCTAAATTTAGTTGGTTCTATCATCTTAATAGTTAAACATGATATTAATACTAAGTGACATAAATTTTGAAATTTGAACAATAATTGACAATTTACATTTTCAGAGTCTTTAAATTTTGTATTTTTTATAAGTTAGAAACATGACTACAGTATATATATTTTCAAAAGGTAAAATATTGATTTATTCAATATAACAATAACTTTGTTCTATTTGTGTATCTAAAATAAATAAACAAAGACAGTAACTAGTTCACTTTATTTCTATTCAATGTATTGTTTCTTCAAATAAAATTGAAGTACATATATATGAGGTTGAAGATGTTTATAAGAATAGTATAGATTTACCAACCACATAACACTGTATTTATTACTAAAAGTTGGTGTGCAAATGAAATTAATGTGACATACCCAATATTGGAAGGTAATTTTACACCAGTAAACAAACAATCTGGTGGTGGGTATTTTGTGATCAATATTTGTACATAGGTTAATAGTTGAAGAAATATAAAATAAAATTACATTTTTTATATCTTTTAAAAAAATAAACGATGTAAAAGAATTTATAAATAAGGTAAGTTTGATTTACTAATTATGGTATTACTCAGTAGTTAGTTATAGTGATTTTTTTTAATAAAAGATTCGAATTATTTTTAATATTTTAGTAATATATTTTTAATAAACATGATTTGTATAATTATTTATTTTTTTATTCTTGAGTTGATAGCCTTTATATAAAATGAATGGTTAGGATGAGCTTAAAGAGGGAGATAGGATAGAAGATTTGATTTTCTGATTATGAATGATCCATTAAACACAAATCATTACAGTAACCTATAAGATAATAATAAAAAGGCTTAATTATATTTTTAAATTATGAAATTAAAGATAAATAATTTTTTACTTTCCCAAATTAAAGAAAACATATTTTAATCTCTCAAATTTAATAAACTATGATTTTCATCTTTAAAAACTAAATTTCAAAGATTAAAAACAGTTTTAAAAACATTTTAATTTTTAAAAATTATTTTTAGAGTCTAAAATCCTTTTTTTTCAATTTTAAGAAATTAAAATATTTTTTTATCAAATTTAAGAGATTAAAACCAAAAATCATTTTAAATTTTGAAGATTAAAAACATAATTAAGCATAATATTAGATGATATAAGAATATTTTAAATATAATTAACATTGAAAAGATAACCCACCTAAACCTACTTTAGAAGCAAAGAGGAATTGAAATATATAGAAATAAAAACATAACTAAAGTCAAAACTTACTTGAATCTAGCTCATTGCTCACAAGCTCCAAAACAAGAGTTTTTCCAACCAATTCTTCAATCCCATGAACTCCATCTTTAACAAGATGAGTTAGAAGGCCACCACCACTACCCTTCACGGTCACAATGACCTTCACATTCCTCGACTTAGACTTGCTGTTGGACGACATGGTACTGTTTTTCTTCATTACAGCTTTCACGCTCCGAGAGACGCACCCTGTGGAAACCTTTCTCTGTACCTTAGAAAAAGAGATTTTACCTTTTCTGAAGAACCAACTATTGTGAGTGTATTTATTGTTCATGTACGGAGAAAATGCATCCTTTATAAAGGATTGGTGCACATGTTGATGCTTGATTAGCGTCATGGTGTTGTGATTTAGATCTGTGGATATGGTAGTGCCCCTAACGTATTAATGCTCATCTATTTAACAGTGAGACGTGTCTTTGGGGTTTCTGCTGGTTTCCAGCATGGACCCCTCACCCACCAATAATGGCATACAAAATTCAAATAAAAGAAACAAGAAAAAATAGCCATAAAATGTAGGTTTGCCGTATTGGTTAGAAAATGAATGACTTGGCTGGTCATCTGGCCGTTGCGGATGGCTTTGAATTATCCTTTTTCTTACAAGATGGGTGCGGGTTTAAATTTGTGTCGTGTCTTTTTTTCAAACTTGCTAGATAATGTTTTTCAGAGAAATGTCCAAAAACTAGTTGAGAAGGCGTAATAAGTTGAATTATTTGCTATTTTAGTCTATATAGTTATCCTTCAAATTAGTTTTTGTTTACAATTCTAGTATTTCATCAGCGTCTTAAACTTTAATATTAGAGTATATCATCAATTTGATCGAAATTTCATCTTATCTTCTACTTAATCGTTGAACTGTCAAAAATTTAATTTTAAAAACGTGCTAATATTTTGTGACATTTATCTAATTATTCTTTTATTTCCAGAAATATTACAAAATTACAGTAAGCGGTAAGAGGGAAAAAAACTAAATTTATTATCCCTTTATAAATAATAGTAGTCGGTAAAAAATATCAAATAAGAAATAATAATAGTAATAATAATAAATCAGTGGAAAAAAAAATAGGAATGAGCATTTTAATTCGGAAAAACTCTTAATATAAAAGAAACAAAAATAAACAAAATATTGGTAATTTTATTTTCAAACTAACTTTTTATACAGTGGCAAAGTGACTTCTGTTTCCTTCCTTTTCCATAAGTTTTTTTTTTTCATAAGAAACATTATGGTTCCCTATTTCTTTTTTAATGGTATTCAAGGATTAATAGAAAACTTTGGAGTCAGCAAGATCGATCAATAAACTTGGATAACTAAACCTGAAAAACTATCATTCTAGAATTTATTAGGTTGAGTTTTGTTTAATATTAAAAGAAGAGAGAGGTTAACTTATAAAGACACACTGAATTAGTTTAAGAAAATAATAATAACTAAATAAGAATATTTATTATACATTATTATAATATACATCAAAATAAATTAATTAGAAAAATAATTCCGTTAGACGTAGTAAATTTAATAATGTGAACTTCAATAGGTATAATAAGTTTCACAAGTTCAAAGTCTAATTTTAGTATAAATGAATTAATTGACTAAATAAGTTTCATTTATAATTTTTATAAGACTTGTTTGAATAACAAAAACCTAGCTAGATTTTCAGGCAAGATTTGAACCCAATACGTTAAAATTAAATACTTGATACTCCAACCACTAAACTTCTACGATTTTTTAATAATAACTTATAAATAAATTATATTTATATACAAGTAAATATACATTCATGTAAATATATAAATATAAAATATATAAATACAAATATATTTATATATTTATATATTTTAAATATTTACTGACAGATATATTCGTCGAAAACTAATTTGTTAATTTACCGACGGATATGTCTGCCAGAAACTAATTGTTAATTTATCGACGGATATATCCGTCGATAATCACTCGGTAATTTCCGTCGGTAATCATTCATTTTCCGATGATTACATATCTATCGGTAATTATTCGTCAGTAATTAATGATTTTCTTGTAGTGAGTGCATGTGAAGTTAAATGTAGCACGAAGCTAAGTTTAACACAAACCTAAGTGTAACGCAGACCTAAGTGTAACACAAAGCTAAATGAAGTAATTATTTTAACAAGCTATATAAGCATATAACATTTAAATTTGAAGTATTTGTTGTTTACCTTAGTTGTAATATGTCTTTAGATGAGTTTCATTCCATATTCATGTGTGTAAACTCGTTCTCTAGCAAGTCCGACTAAGGGATTTGGATAAGGCTGGACCTATAGAATCATCTTGCTTGAGGTCTGAAATCATTATCAGTAAAGGTAATCAAAGGCAGTGTTCTTGGTATAAGTAATCGAGCTATGTTGAGTCCTAAAGAAATTAGAGTCAACTCAGATAATATTCTCTATGATGTTTTGGAGTTTTCTACAATTCTTAGTGGTGTTTCTAATATTTTGATGTCATGCACATTGTTTTAACCGATATGCTTCAATGGGTGTGGCTATTGGTTCTTGTAACTTAACTAGTTTCAAGTTGCATGCTTTTTATAGGATGGTTTCAACACAAGCGTTCAAGGGTTTTAATTTTCTTTCTTCACACCTTCTCTTTCTTGGGATCTTTAGTTCCTAAGTTTAATATTCTCCTTTAGTTGTTTAAACTTGAACATTCAAGTTCTGAGTTCTTCTAAAGACTTTGGATAGTCCATGCATAAGCTATCCAAAAAAGTCCATTGCCTTAACCCTCCTATAATGGAGTGGATGATTAAGTGAAGGAATAGGTTATGTATGCTGAGACACACCTCAGTAAATTGTTCTGTGAATTTTCTCAAAGATCCAATTATTTCCTTCCTTAACCCTTACAAGGTGAGAGTGATTGTTCAATGTGGTCTTGTGGCTGCAAAGTTAGCTCGAAACTTGTTAGTCCACATTTCAAAGGTTCCTATTGACTCGGTAGGTAGATCATAAAACCATTTTAGTGTTGTCTCCTTTCATATTCATATGAAAAACTTGGTATAAAAATGCATCATTCTCACCGAATAAAGTAATTTGTGTTAAGTATGACCAAATGTGCTCATCTAGGTCTACTTGATATGAACCTCATTTGTACAAGGGTTGACTTAAGATCTTTAGGTTTAGAACCATGTAGAAAATTTAGGAAATTAGTGAGAAAGTGGACTAGAAAGTGGTGAAAATTTCAAGGTTGGGCAGTATTTTTGAAATGTCGATATCTCAAGCTATAAAACTATGATTAAGGTGATTCAAAAATGAGATGAAAGTTCTCGTTCTGAATTTCAATCTAGGCTAAAAAAACATTTAATTTGGATGAGTAGAACAAAATTTATGACCACAAAATAAATCTGGGCAGAATTGAGTTTTCTGAGTTCTGCTAAAGAAAGGACAAAATGTGAATGTGACAGATCAAGAAAGAATTACTCTTCCCAAGGGAGGAAACTCACAAAGAATGTGAAAATCCTTTAATATAACGAAGGGTTTTTAAATCACTCAAGAACTTAAGAGAATCACTCTCACTGAGATAAAAGAGCTAAACTCTAAGATTTCTAAATAAAACTCAACTTCCACCAAGATTTATTTTGTGGTCATAACTTTTGTTCTACTTATCCAAATTGAGTGTTTTTTTAGCCTAAATTGAAATTCATAACGAGAACTTTCACCTCGTTTTTGAATCGCCTCAATCAAAGTTTTATAGTTTGAGATATACTGTCAAACCTTGAAACTTTCACCACTTTCTAATTCATCTTCTTACTAATTTCCTAAATTTCCTACAAGGTTCTAACCCTAAAGCTCCTAACTCAACCCTTGTGCAAATGAGGTTCATATCATTTGGTATTCAGAGCTTTAGTTTAAGGGTTTGAATGTCAAATTGGTAACATCTTTCCTTCATTATTTTTTTACCAAGTGATTATTACCTTATTTTATTCATATTATTTGTGATTGTGTTGAATCATTACAAAAAAAAAAAAATTAGGCCGTTGTGAAAAATAAAATAAAAATAAAGTTACATTATTTTATAATTTGGTTGAAAGTGATAAAAAAAAATTGGGCTGAATATGTTTTTGAACAATTTGTTATAAGGTAATATATTGGTGATCTTGAAGGATTGTTGCTAATTCTCTTGTTTACCAATTTTTATTTTACCTCTTTGTTTTTGTGATTTGTTAGTCTTTCTTGTCTACCTAGCCTTACCATGCACACATATTGGAGGATTGTTCTTTGTTGTGGTCATAATCTCTTGAATTGCCTAAAAACATAAGGAGAATTTGAGTGGTTAAAGGAAATAGTGTTTTTCATTAGAGGAAAAACCATAATTGTGTGATACACTTGAGCATGGTGAGGTTACAATATTTTTTATTGTTGTTTTTTATTTATTTGTTGTGATGGTAGAGGAGAAAAATTATAATCAAGGAGTAGGAATTAGTCTATTCCAAATGAGGGCATTGATACAACATTTGGAAGAATTAATGATACAACATAACAATGAGCTCCATGAAAGATTGAACCGGTTCGAGAATAGAGACCCCGAAGATGAAGAAGAAAGGAGAAATAGGAGAAGGAATGATGAAGTAGCAAGACCAAGTAGGCTTGAAGGAGTCAAGCTTAACATTCCTTTGTTCAAAGGAAAAAGTGATCCAAAGGCATAGTTGAAGTAGGAGATGAAAATAGAGCATGTTTTCTCATGCAACAATTATGAGTGAAAGCAATGAGGGGGAGATTGATGGCAATGTGAAACATGTCTCTACATTCCCAAGAGTTGATTTTGATGATGATTCAAGTCAACAACATTCAAGACTCAAGCAAGCCCAAGATATGATCTGATAAAGATTTAATTCAAACATCAAGCAAGCACAAGATGATTCCCGAAGACTAAATAGAGTCTCAGAATACTGGATATGGATGTACAAATTGATAAAGTAATATTATGCATAAGCCTCCAAAGCAAAAGTGTGATAAAATTTCGTAACATGATATTTTTCACTGTAATAATTGATTATGTTGCATTTGAGAAATTGATTTTTACCCCGACATAATTGATTATGACAGTTCGAAATTCAAAAATATATTTGTTTTGAAGAATAAATGTTTTTCAATATATCCTGATTTTTATCCACGAAAATATTAATGTCCAACCATTTTCTGATGTTATTTTTCTATTTAATTAAGTTTTGATGGAAAATCAAAAACACACAATTACAAAAATCGAAAATACAATTTACATTCAATCAGTTTTGAGAAAATAATTCTGAGCAAGGCAACAAAGATATTTTACATGTTTTGAGAAAACCCTCTTCTCCATTGCCATAGAGATATTTT